ACCTCTATATGTAGAGGAGAACCTCTATATGTAGAGGAGAACCTCTATATGTAGAGGAGAACCTCTATATGTAGAGGAGAACCTCTATATGTAGAGGAGAACCTCTATATGTAGAGGAGAACCTCTATATGTAGAGGAGAACCTCTATATGTAGAGGAGAACCTCTATATGTAGAGGAGAACCTCTATATGTAGAGGAGAACCTCTATACATAGAGGAGAACCTCTATACATAGAGGAGGTCCTCTATACATAGAGGAGGTCCTCTATACATAGAGGAGGTCCTCTATACATAGAGGAGGTCCTCTATACATAGAGGAGGTCCTCTATACATAGAGGAGGTCCTCTATACATAGAGGAGGTCCTCTATACATAGAGGAGGTCCTCTATACATAGAGGAGGTCCTCTATACATAGAGGAGGTCCTCTATACATAGAGGAGGTCCTCTATACATAGAGGAGGTCCTCTATACATAGAGGAGGTCCTCTATACATAGAGGAGGTCCTCTATACATAGAGGAGGTCCTCTATACATAAAGGAGGTCCTCTATACATAGAGGAGGTCCTCTATACATAGACGAGGTCCTCTACACATAGAGGAGGTCCTCTATACATAGACGAGGTCCTCTATACATAGACGAGGTCCTCTACACATAGAGGAGGTCCTCTACACATAGAGGAGGTCCTCTATACATAGACGAGGTCCTCTACACATAGAGGAGGTCCTCTATACATAGACGAGATCCTCTACATATAGAGAGGATCCTATATACCTAAAGGAGGACTTCTATATATAGAGGAGGAGAGCCTCTATACATAGAGGAGACCAGCATCCTCGATATACAGAGGAAGTCCCCTATACATCGAGGAAGTTTTCTATACATAGGGGAGGTCCCCTATAAATAGAGAAGGTCCTCTTTAAATAAAGGACGTCCTCCATACGTATAGAAGGGGTCCTCTATGTGTAGAGGAGGTCTCCTATGTATATGAGAGCCTCTATACATGGAGGAGGTCAGCTATACATTGATGAAGACTTCTATACACATATATGAGGTCCTCTATATATTGAGGAGGACCCCTATGCATGAAGAAGTTTTCTTAGTTATTTTGTCAAAACATTTATGTTGAATAAAAATTACTATTTAAATTAATGCAACCTTCGAATGGGAAACACATTCACCCTTCTCCAAACTTCGCGTATACTTACATATTTGTCTCTGCCCCCTCGGTAATTTAATATCAAATAATATCTTTTATTATTTATCATCGTATTATTCATTCATCACTTAGTCTTAAGCACAGTTCTCTTATTTAACTTTACTAAACTCACCCTTCCCCTACTTCTCCTTTTCTTTACAGCTCACAAAATAATCTCTGCAATGGCGTTATATCCGGCAATCATATATTGGCGCCAAAAATCCAAAACAGTTGCAGCCCTAATGGCCAGAAAAAGGGTACCGTTTCGCTAACCCATCTGCCCCAACGGCCACCGGTCGATATTGAATTTACGGAAATTTCCTATTCAGTGTCAGAGGGACGACGGCGTGGTTTTAAGACAATATTAAAAGGTGTTTCGGGTAAATTTCGCAATGGTGAGCTGACGGCAATAATGGGTCCATCGGGTGCTGGCAAAAGTACGCTGATGAATATTTTAGCAGGATATAAGTAAGTGGCAAATAAATAAAATGTAATAATAATGAATATATAAAAGGAAGAAAAAAGCTGACACAAAAAGAGACAAAGGAGGACAAGTATCCTTAGTGGAAGGAAATTTTAGAGGGAGTCATGCACACACACACACAGAGAAACTCATGAGGAAATTTTATATCATGACAATGTTAATTAAAAGTAGGGGGTAAATCGCTGGAGGACAGACAAGAGCTTTGTCGCTGGATGTGACAATTTTGTTAATCACTTTTGTTTTTGTTTTTTACTTAAAGTTGATATTTATGTTCATTGCAATTGGGGGAGACTTTTTTGCCTAGGGGCTTACAACTAAAATGAATCAAGTTAATCAAATTTAAAAATTATATTTAAATTTGATATTGTATAAAACAAGTGAAAATGGAATTAGGTTAGTTCGGGCCAAACATTTTTATACCCTTCACCCCCACGATACTACAGCGAATGGTTTTGGGATGTATTGGTAAAACTTCCGATGTAATAGGAAAACGGGCGAGGTGTTTATATAAATGACAAATGATATAATCGTGTAACCCGTTAAACATCACATGTACCAAATTTCAGCCACATTTGATGACATATATTCCATACTAAGACGAAGTATCCAAACCCACTGGAAATAATAATATTGTGCTGTGACTTCCAAGGATATCCTTTTTCCAAGAAAATTATTCTTGGTCTTTTATACCCTTCACCACACTGTGGTACAGGGTATTATGTCTTTGTGCGTATGTTTGTAACAGGCAAAAGGAAACGAGATAGACACATGGTTCCTTTTGAGAATATGCATAGAATCACTTTCTGAGTCGATTTATGCATGTCCGTCTGTCTGTCCATGTTAAATTGTAAACAAAGTACATGTCGCATTTATAATCCGAATTGGATGAAATTTGGCACAGGTCACTTATTCGGCCCAAGGATGAACCCTATTGAAAAAATCGGTCCAGATTTAGATATTCCTCCCATATATATTTTTGTCCGATTTTAGGTAAATAGTGCACCAAAGTTCCTATATATCCTTCGATTTGCACGAAACTTGGCGTAGCGTACTGAATTAAGTCTAGAACGATGTGTGTTAAATTTCGTGCCAATCGGTTCAGATTTAGATATAGCTCCCATATATATTTTCGTCCGATTTTAGGTAAATAGTGCTCCAAAGTCCCTATATATCCTTCGATTTGCACGAAATTTGGCACAGCGTACTGAATTAAGTCTAGAACGATGAATTTCGTGAAAATCGTTTCAGATTTAGATATAGCTTTCATGTATATTTTCGTCCGATTTTATGTAAATAGTGGACCACAGTATTATATAACCTTCGATTTGCATGAAATTTGGCATAGCGTACTGAATTGTGCCTAGAATGATGTGTATTAAGTTTTGTGAAAATCGATCCAGGTTTAAATATAGCTCCCATATATATATATATATATATATATATATATATATTCGTTCCATTTTATATAAATGGTGCACCAAAATCCCTATATACCCTTGGATTTGCACGAAATTTGTCATAGCGTACTAAATTGTGTCGAGAATGATGTGTGGTAAATTTTAAATCGGTTCAGATTTCTATGTACATCCCACATATTTATATACATTCCTCCGATTTTACTCAAATGGCGCTACAATCTCCTAACGTTTGTCCGAATTACACGAAATTTTGAACGGGTGTCTGTGATTGACGGGTGTCTGTGATTGATATAAAATGTTTATCAGTACCGTAAAACGTTAGTCCCATGGTAGGCAGACGACTCTAAATATGACCGAATGAAATTAAATTTATCATAGGTTGCAGAAAGACATGCGTATGTTCGTATGCGTATAACCTATCTTCTAACCAGTCTGAAGACAATGGTAGATGGTGTCAAGGATTTCTCAATAGTAGATGTTGTCAAAGATATCCCATCATTCATGAACCATCTCGAACAATGGCAAACTGTATCTTAAAAAATTGTTAATATATAGAAACAAGAATTTTTCTGCGGAATTTAAGTAATACAATATTTTTGTATATAAATAATATTCAAGAATGTATAAGAGAACAATTCCTCCATTAAAAAAAAAATTGAGGAAAAATTGTCGCTAATGTTTATTTTCGTTTTAACAATAACAAATGTAAGAGAACACATTAACGCTGGTATGCAAGGCTGTCCATCATTCCTCTCCAATGTCCTCACATAACTTTCCCAGATGCACTCGGGCTACACAAATTTGTATCCTCTGTTGGCGACTTAATTAGAGACTCCTTTACGTCACAATTACTTCGATCAAGAAACCTCTCGCACTATTTTTCGGATAGTTCCACGGTAACATCCAAATATATTTAGGATCCTCTTGATCTGAAAGAATTTCCTTTCGGTTATCGAATTCGCATAACTACGCAGCGTCGTAATTATTTCTATAAAGAAGTCCCTTGCAATATCATTCTGATAGTTCAGTGAGAATTTTCGATCTGAAGGAATTCCTTTTTGGCAATCGAATTCCTGTTCCGCGCGATTAAGAGAATGCTAAATTAGATAATCTCCGGTAAATCTTATTGTTAGAGATTTCCTAGGCATTGAAAGATTTGGTGGTTACTGTCAGTGGAAAGGTCATCAACAGCAGCATCTACTACTGCCTCGAAAGTATCGATTTACCATTGACCACTATGCAAAGACCGATATACTCTTCCATCACGTTTAATGATTGTTTTATTTCCGTTGTGTTGAACATAATGGTATCCGTGGCATCTTACTCGTCCATCAAAGGTGAATAATCCCAGAGATTGGTCAAGATACTTTCTTGGATGATACGGAAGCAGTCGATTTCCTCAATTAGGTCTGGGAGATTGTCTGTATGTCCAAAACTAGCGTTAATGTCATCAAGAGTAACGAGGTTGGGATGGTTTAATGAAAAGTCCACGATACGTTGGCATTGGTCGATGACATTGAAAAACCCAGTGATACCCTACACAACTACCACGAAAATCTAACTTTCTGCGGTTCTATATTCTGAGCCTGGGAAATATTTCGCCATATTTGCCCCCTCTTGGCCGATTTTATGTCAACAACTCCGCTTTCCGCTTGTTGTCAGGGCATTATAGCTTTGTACAGCTCCAAAAGTTTGTAACGCCGCGAAATATTGGTCCTAAACCCACCTTTAAGTTTACCGAACGTCTCGACTAGCTGAGTCGATCTAGACATGTGTTTCCGTCCGTCCGTCTGTCCATTATAATTTGTAAACACGATACAGGCCACAGTTATGGACCAATCTTCACGAAATTTTGCATGTAGGATGGGTTCTGGCCAATGAAGACCCCTATTGTTTTTGTAAAAGATCGGTTAATATTTAGGGGATGAAATGGACCAAATACTAAATTTTTGTCGGTTATTCTGGTCGCTCCTGAGGCCGCATGCATGGAGAAGGGGATCGGGCCAAAGAATAAGCATTCCTGTTTTGATAAAGATCGGCCAATATTTAGCGGGTCAAATGGACCCTAACTTTTGTGTGAAAAATTACAAAATTTGTATTCTATAGCGTATATATTTACCATTTAAGGACATAGACCCGAGAAATTTATAGTATATCCAAGAGGAGTGGTTGACCTTTAAATTGATACCAATTATATTGTCGTAGGTACTCGAATGCGGGAGTTACACTTAAATATTTACAGGTGCTTACGTATTCATATATTATTTAGTAACCTATTACCACACTGCAGGGCGGAAATATAGCGCTGATCGCTTTGAAATGTTCCATGAGATTCTAGTTATGGTCGAGGACAGCGCCTAAAATGTTAGGTGATGATCAGAAAAAATTTTCGGATGAAGTGGACCGAAAAGTTAATTATTTGTACTTTTCGAGTCGAAAGCCGAACATCACAACACAACCCACGGTGCAGGGAATCTGGACAAGTAATCAGAGTTGCTGTACTGATTATTAGTAACATTTGCTGACCTCTAGCCAGTCAAAAGTGTTCGAATATCGCGAAATATTGCCCAATCTCAGAATATAGAACCACAGAAATTAGATTTTCATGGAAGTTTCACTGGTTTTCAAATATTGTTTTCCCGGTTTAATTGATAATCATCTAAACAGCCGTTGTAAATGTTAGGTCAGATCCCCTTTACCATGTAAATGTGTGATGTTCTGCATCTGTTCGGCCTCTAGAGCGACTAGAATATGAGACAAAAATAAAGTTTTCGTTTCATTGCACCACGTAAATATTATCTCTACCTCAACGAAAATTTCCATGTCAAATTTCAAAGCGGTCAGCGTGACACCGCACTCTGGTGGGATAATAGTAATACTAAAAAATACAATAAAATAACTATAACTATAAATATTTATGTATAACTCCCACATCCGAGTACATACAACAATATAATTGGTATCAATTTTGAAATCATCATTGTGGCCTCTAAAGCGAACAGAAAAGCAGCCAAAAATAAAGTTTTTGTCCATTTCATGCCCTAAATATTTACCGATCATTACCAAAACCCATCCTACATGCAAAATTTCGTAACGATTGGTCCATAACAGCAGCCTCTTTACAAATTATAATGGACAAACGGGCGGAAACAAATGTTTAGATCGACTCAGCAAGTTGAAATAAACTTAAAGGTAGGTTTAGGACCAATATTTCGCGGCATTATAAACGCGGCATTATGACAATATAGTTGTGTAGGGTATAATTAAATTTATTTTTTAAGCTACGCTTCTCAAGTTGGAGACTGAGAAGGTAGGCAAACATCTGTCCAATAAATATCGCTATACTGTTTGTTTTTAGAATCTGTTAGAATCCCCCTCCCCTCCTCTCTCCCTAGGCGGAGCAGAGCTGATAGTAGCCATAGCAGATTCCGGTAGATCCTCTACAAATGTGTGTACAAAATGTCACCATTCTTGGCATTCTAAAAATTTAATTCTCTTAGATATGGTAGACCCTAGCGGGAATCCAAAAAATGGCCAAGACCCATAATTCCATACTTCTAACAACATTTCTTCCTAAAACGTCCACCCATACAAATAATATATAGTATAGCGAAGGCCCTTTGCTAATAGACCTCCACCTGAAAATATATATATTTTTAATATAAATCAAGTTTAAATTAGCAACGATATTGTTAAAAGACCCCTGAATAACTGATTCGGTGATGGTATTTTGTCAGAAATATTATCTAACAGGAAAAAAATCTGCAAAATGTCACCTTCCAACGAGCATAAATCTGAAATTGTTTGAGCGATACTTTACGAGAAATCTATCGTTACCAACATTTTAAATTAGTGAAGTTCGGGAACGTTTTTTAACCAAAAGCTCTGTAACTTTATATTTTGGGAGAATCTCCGTGTGTGTCAAAACCGCTACTAAAATTTTTCAATATCGGTTCCCGGAATAGCCCCAAGATAATGGTAACCACACTATTCGGTACATTGCTATAAGCAATTAAAAATGCACTGAAACCAGTCTTCGAATTTTAAAGTCTTCCTACATATTATTTCCACTTTTAAATTTTCCATGACTGATTTATTTTATAAAACGTGGAACCTGCCTTCATACAATGAATGCATTGTGCATTCACATGTTTTCCCTTATGCATTGATCCTTATATCTTAATATTCACAATACCTTCACATGTGTTTTACAAAAATTTTCATCAATATTTTCTTTCCCTATATGTCCATCCACACACATCCACAAATACATACAAAGCTGTATGTACGCCAAATGCTTTTCAATTTTATCTTTTCCTGAAATTTCCGTTTTGTCTGCATTATAGATTTTCGACGTTATGTGTGTGTATATGTGTCTGTGGTGCTCCGGCATTTTCCTGTCACTTCCCGTATTGAACGAATATCATTTAACAGATTTTTTTTCTCTCCTTTTAACAGGATAACAAAAAATATATATGTATGTACATATACGTCTGAATGCCTGGCTGGATGTTTCAGGATGTACATCAGAATGTCACAATCGGAATGACAGCAAAAATTGTTTTTGCCACTTTGGTGTTTGAGGTGTTGTTATGGCATTTCCTTCATTAAGACTTTGGCTTGACAGGGATTTTTCGTATTGAAACTCGTTTCTGTTTTTGTTCATTCTCCATAACTGATAAATGTTTAATGTATGTGCGCAGATATATATCCGAAACATATGTCCTTTAATAGATAGAACAATAAATTAACTTCGGAATAAATTGTGTCAGGATTGTGGCATACAAATATTCTTGAAAAATCTACACATATTCTTTAAAAAATCCACGCTTCTACTGGACCTCGAAAAATATTCTTGAAAGATCTACATCTCTGTTAGATCATGACCTGGACCTTGAAAAATATTCTTGAAAGATCTACATCTCCGTTAGATCATGACCTGGACCTTGTAAAATATTCTTGAAAGATCTACACCTCTGTTAGATCATGACCTGGACCTTGAAAAATATTCTTGAAAGATCTACACCTCTGTTACATCATGACCTGGACCTTAAAAAATAATTTTTTAAAAAATCCACGCTTCTACTGGACCTTGAAAAATATTCTTTAATAAATCCACGCCTCAGTGGGCCTTGAAAAATATTCTTTAATAAATCCACGCCTCAGTTGGACCTTGAAAAATATTCTTTAATAAATCCACGCTTCTACTGGAACTTGAAAAATATTCTTCAAAAAATCCACGCTTCTACTGGACCTTGAAAAATATTCTTTAAAAAATCCACGCTTCTACTGGACCTTGAAAAATATTCTTTAAAAAATCCACGCTTCTACTGGACCTTGAAAAATATTCTTTAAAAAATCCACGCTTCTACTGGACCTTGAAAAATATTCTTTAAAAAATCCACGCTTCTACTGGACCTTGAAAAATATTCTTTAAAAAATCCACGCTTCTACTGGACCTTGAAAAATATTCTTAAAAAAATCCACGCTTCTACTGGACCTTGAAAAATATTCTTTAAAAAATCCACGCTTCTACTGGACCTTAAAACAAACATTAGGCCTTCAACAAACATTCTTTACAAAAAACACGCCTCTGTTAGGCCTTGAACAAACATTCTTTACAAAAAACACGCCTCTGTTAGGCCTTGAAAAATATTCTTTAAAAAATCCACCCCTCTATTAGGCCTTGAACAAATATTCTTTAAAAAATCCACGCCTCTGTTAGGCCTTGAACAAATATTCTTTAAAAAATCCACGCTTCTACTGGACCTTGAAAAATATTCTTTAAAAAATCCACGCTTCTACTGGACCTTGAAAAATATTCTTCAAAAAATCCACGCTTCTACTGGACCTTGAAAAATATTCTTTAAAAAATCCACGCTTCTACTGGACCTTGAAAAATATTCTTTAAAAAATCCACGCTTCTACTGGACCTTGAAAAATATTCTTTAAAAAATCCACGCTTCCACTGGACCTTGAAAAATATACTTTAAAAAATCCACGCTTCTACTGGACATTGAAAAATATTTTTTTTTTTTAATTTGTTTTTCAGTTGGATCTTAAAAAAATATTCTTTAAAAATCCAAACCTCTGTTATATCTTGAAAAAATATTCTGAAAAAAAGTATTTGTAATAACGCCTCTCTCTTCTCTTTTCAGAACATCTCAACTTAGCGGCTCGGTGCTTATCAACGGCAAAGAACGTAATCTGCGACGTTTCCGTAAACTCTCCTGCTACATTATGCAGGACGACGTGCTAATTGCCAATTTGTCGGTGCGCGAGGCCATGATGGTCTCCGCTAATCTCAAATTGGGCAAAAATATGAATTTGGCTGCCAAAAAAGTTGTAGTCGATGAAATTCTCGAAACTATCGGTCTTATCGAATCAAGCAATACCAAGACTTGTAATCTCTCCGGAGGACAACGAAAACGGCTGTCGATTGCCTTGGAGTTGGTCAATAATCCACCCGTTATGTTTTTCGATGAGCCCACATCGGGCTTGGACAGTTCGACGTGCTTCCAATTGATATCGCTGTTGAAGTCACTGGCACGTGGTGGCCGTACCATTGTCTGCACAATCCATCAACCGTCCGCCAGGCTCTTTGAGAAATTCGATCATTTGTATATGTTGGCCGAGGGTCAGTGTATGTATGAGGGTAGGGTGAGGGCATTGGTGCCATTTTTATCATCGCTCGGCTATGATTGCCCTTCGTATCACAATCCGGCAGATTATGTGTTAGAAGTGGCCAGCGGCGAATATGGTGAATGTGTACCGAAATTGGTGGCGGCCGTCAAGAGTGGGGTCTGCAAGAAATATAGCCAAAAGAATTACGGTCTCGATATAACCAAGGATATTACCAATGACATTGCCAAGGGTAATGGTGCGACGGCGGGAGCGGCAGCCAATGGAGGCAATGCGGGAGTTGTTACCAATACCACCACTGTTGTGCTGGCCGATGAAAAATCCAAATTGGATGAACCCTCGTCGGCGGCTGAATTGGAACTGAACTCATCAGGCATACTAAAACCACCGAAACTAGAAACCCAAGAAAGTCAACAGTCCGATTGTTCCGTTATCAATATGCCGACACGCAACAGTGGTGAGCACACCGGGGAGGATAGCTGTAGTTATAGTTCCAAAGGAGGTCAGAGTACCAATGCCACCACAAATGTCACCGGTTCCAATGGTGCTGGAGGTGGTGGTAGTGGCGGCAACGGTGGTGGCGGAGGAGGCAATTCCGGTGCCGGTTGTACAACCTCACTCCTGGACTCCCACGAAAGTGTCATTGCTATGCCGAATAAATCCGGTTTTCCCACCAGTGGTTGGACACAATTTTGGATATTGCTCAAACGTTCCTTTGTCACGATTATGCGTGATCGTATGCTGACCCATATGCGTTTGGCGTCGCACATAATTGTGGGTGCCATTATTGGCATGATCTACTATGATGTCGGCAATGAGGCTTCGAAGGTGATGAGTAATGCCGGTTGTATATTTTTTACCACACTATTTACCATGTTTACAGCAATGATGCCCACAATATTGACATGTAAGTAAAGAGGGGGGAGGGGTGGAGGGTGATATTATTTATTTTGAAATTGGAAATTATAATTTTGAAAACAAATGATGTTTCTTTAATTACAGTCCCCACAGAAATGTCGGTGTTTGTTCGAGAGCATTTAAATTATTGGTATTCACTTAAGGCTTTTTATTTTGCTAAGACAATGGCTGATTTACCCTTTCAGGTAAGACGAAAAGAAATTTAGAATTGAATGCTTATTTTAATTTTAAACCAGTAAGGAAAGTAGTAAAGTCGGACGGGCCGACTAATTGGTACCCTTATTGATACCCCTAACAGACGTCGCATTTTTACATAAAATCGGACCACATTTTGAGTTCTTGGTGCATCATGTACTTAAAGTCGGGAAAAAATTTCGTGCAAGTCGAAATATATATAGGGACTTTGGTACAACATTTACCTTAAATCGGACGAAAATATATATGGGAGCTTTATCTAAATCTGGACCGATTTTCACGAAACTTAACACACATCATTCTTGACCTAATTCAGTACGCTGTGCCAAATTTCGTCCAAATCGAAAGATATATAGGGACTATGATACACCATTTACATTAAATCGGTCGAATATATATATGGGAGCTATATCTAAATCTGAACCGATTTTCACGAAACTCAGCACACATCATTCTAGACCTAATTCAGTACGCTGTGCCATATTTCATGCAAATCGAATGATATATAGGGGCTTTGTTGCACCATTTACTTAAAATCGGACGAAACTATATATGGAAGCTATATCTAATTATGAATCGATTTTCACGAAATTCAGCACACATCATTCTTGACCTTATTGAGTACGCTATGCTAAATTTCATGCAAATCGAATGATATATTGGGACTTTGTTGCACCATTTACTTAAAATCGGACGAAACTATATATGGGAGCTATATCTAATTATGAACCGATTTTCACGAAACTCACGACACATCATTCTTGACCTTATTGAGTACGCTATGCTAAATTTCGTGGAAATCGAATGATATATAGGGACTTTGTTGCACCATTTACTTAAAATCGGACGAAACTATATATGGGAGCTATATCTAATTATGAACCGATTTTGACGAAACTCAGCTCACATCATTCTTGACCTTATTGAGTACTCTATTCTAAATTTCGTGCGAATCGATTGATATATAGGGACTTTGGTGCACCATTTACATAAAATCGGACGAAAATATATATGGGAGCTATATCTAAATCTGAACCGATTTTCAGAAAACTTAACACACATCATTCTTGACCTTATTGAGTACGCTACGCCAAATTTCGTGCAAATCGAAAGATATATGGGGACTTTGGTACACCATTTACATTAAATCGGACGAAAATATATATGGGAGCTATATCAAAATCTAAACCTGTTTTCAAGAAAATTTACATGCATCATTCTAGACTTAATTAAGTACGCTACGCCAAATTTCGTGCAAATCGAAAGATATATAGAGACGTTGGTGTATCATTTACATCAAATCTGTCGAATATATATTGGAGCTATATCTAAATCTGAACCGATTTTCAGAAAACTTAACACACATCATTCTGGACCTAATTCAGTACGCTATGCTAAATTTCGTGCAAATCGAATGATGTATAGGGACTTTGGTGCACCATTTACATAAAATCGGACGAAACTATATATGGGAGCTGTATCTAAATCTGGCCCGATTTTCAGGAAACTTAACACGCATCATTCTAGACTTAATTCAGTACGCTGCGCCAAATTTCGTTCAAATCGAAAAATATATAGGGACTTTGATATACCATTTACTTTAAATCGGACGAAAATGTATATGGGAGCTATATCTAAATCTGAACCAATTTTTCACAATTTCAATAGTGTTCGTCCTTGGGCCAAATAAGTTACAGACGGATAGACGGACGGACGGACATGCATAAATCGACTTAGAAAGTAATTCTATGCATATTCTCAAAAGGAACCATATGTCTATATCGTTTCCTTTTGCTTGTTACAAACATATGTACAAAGATATAATACCCTATACCACAGTGTGGTGAAGGGTATAAAAATCTACGCCGTTAAAAAAATACACGCCTGTGTTGGTCCTTGAAAAATTAATTATAAAAAAATCCACGCCTTTGGAAAGACTTTGAAAAAATATATTTTTATAAACTTTCCCTCTAAATAATCGTTCATTATTTTTTCCAGATAATGTTCTCCAGCGTCTATGTCATCGTAGTGTATTATCTAACATCCCAGCCCATGGAACCGCAAAGGGTCACCATGTTTGTTGTTATATGTGTACTAACGTCGTTGGTGGCCCAATCGTTGGGCCTGCTCATTGGTGCCGGTATGAATATAGAGGCCGGTGTTTTTCTGGGGCCTGTCACCACTATACCGACCATACTCTTTTCGGGTTTCTTTGTTAACTTTGATACAATACCGGGCTATTTACAGTGGGTCACCTATGTCAGTTATGTTCGTTATGGATTTGAGGGTGAGTAGAGATTAAAAATCAACATTTTTATTTTTTAATTAATTTTAAATTTATTTTAGGAGCCATGGTCTCAATTTACGGCATGGATCGTGCCAAACTGCAATGTGATGCCATGTACTGTCACTTCCGAAGTCCGAAGAAATTCTTAGAGGAAATGTCCATGGATAAGGCGGAATATTGGATTGATGCTGTGGCGCTGATTGGCATTTTCATTGCCCTGAGAATTATAGCCTATTTTGTATTACGTTGGAAGTTACACATGATACGTTAAATGTAGCGATCGCAATGGATCAACTATATAATCCCGAAATTAATACAACAACAAATAGCCGAAGTTAGAAGTTAGTTGAACACCACATGATATAGTATATTAGGTTTAGGAACTATTTTTGTCAGTGTGTGTGTGCGTGTCTGGCGTAAACGCATAGAAATCATAGAGCCAGTCATACCCCCGAACAGAGAAAAAAAACAAAAACAAAAAATTACATCTGTTAACGACTTTATAGGCATACAGACATACATACAAACAAACATACTACATATACATACATAGTATTAGCAATGAGTCAAACATACAAAAACAAAAACAACAAAAAACCTAAAAACAACATTTTTATTCTCAATATGGTGTGATATGTAATGTGTTTTTTTATAAATATATATAACAAAAAATATATATAAAACATATTTATATAAAAAAACGAAAAATTATTTTTTTCTAAATATGTTTGTCTTTCGATATTATTTTTTTTTCTATTCTATAATTTTTTGTAATTCTGCAAACAATTCTTGAAATTACCAACTAGAATTAATATTGTATTGTATTATATTTATTGTGATGTATTCTAATTTTAGGGATTTCTTAAATAATAATTTTTAATGGAATTTATTTTTTGTTCTCTGGAAGCTGTGGCATTATTTTATAAAGAAGTTTATATATAGCAGTTTTTTTTCTATTAATTTGAATTATTGATAGCAATATTGTAATGCAATTTATATGTATTTTCATGAATGTATTTTTTGTTCGTATATAAGTAATATTTAATTTTTAGCGAATTTTATTTTTTTTCTTTTGGTCTTGAGTGATACAGATTTAATATACATATATAGATATTTTTCTTAAATAATAAATGAAATTATTTCGAAGAGATTTTCTTGTTAATTTTGAAGGGTATGATGGAGTATTCATAAATGTCCAATTTCAATCTTTAATTTATGTTTTAGTAACAATTTATAAAAACCAAAAAAAAAAAATATTCACATTACATAGTTAGATATGGACCCCGAAACTTCAGAGTATTCTTTATAATCATATTAAAATATCAATTTGGATGTTTTCCATGAGACCTTTATCTCCATTCTAGCCAAAAATCTACATTAAAGGAAAGCATTTAATTTTGAATTAATACAAAATTGTAAACGATTGTCATACATACAGAAACACGTATAAGGACCCTCTATCATTTAAACCTGTAATTTGTTTAATTTAAAAGAAAACTTAGTACAGGATATTTAATAGTCTCTGAAATGTATTCAAGTAATATTCTTCAAATAGCAAGTTGGGCTCATAGGTTCGTAGTTATTGAATACAATTCAATATTTATCAATCTATTATCAATCTTAATATTTTTTTAACAATTAAAGCAAGGCGTTTTCTACTTGATCCAGTTGGTTATCCTTATCAGGTCCTATAACTAATTGTTGGTAATGCTTTAACCAGTTTCTGAAGTCGTAATATCGTAGAGATTCAAATGTTTCCAAATCTCGTCCATATATTGAAAATAGATACCAATACCAAGTCGATTTTGTAAAAATCGAAAGTAGTCTACTTATATATGGCGTATGAATGTTTTTATACCTTCTACCATATATACCCTACATGATAATATTAGTTTTTCATTCTCTTTATAACTCATCGAAATAGTAATTTCCGACCTAATAAATATTCTCTATCAGGGTAAAATTCTAAGACGATCTAGAAATTCTCGCCCTTCGTCCGTTTGTTGTAAACACGCTATCTTCTGAAGGATTAGCTTATGTTACACTAAATTGAATAGGAGTGGTTTACTTAAGCCAGTCAAAGGCTATTCGAAGTTAGAAGAAATCATTTTGATGTTGATCTCCCTATATTTCTAGGAATTCCATACTTGTCTTAAACCAGTCAATCTTTATTGTGCTCTCTACAGTGCAAAGAAGTTAGAAGAAATATCTTAAGGATAGTCTCTCTATACATCTAGGAATTCTGCGTGATTATTCTTTCTTGTTATTCTTAGTCAAGCCCATCAGTATTTTCAATTCACATCCCCTTATGTCATTAAAATCGTCAATTGTATAATTTCCCATGAATTGGTTTCGATGGCCGGGCGTAAGACTTAGCATTTGAATAGCACATCTGGCGAGAAACTATCTCATTGCCTACCTGTGAGACTAGGTACCAATATGATTCGTACAATATCGTGTCACGAGAAATGTTGCACAGAGTTATATTTTGTCTACAATCAGGTCAAGTTCGAATATTCACGTTTAGGTAGAGCCCCACATAACCATATCTCCGAATTGGACATCATTTTATATTTTCGGACTTCTCATTAGTTGACACATGTACTTACCAAAAATATCGATTCATTTTGGTATTTTATATAACTGCCATATAACGATAATCCCGATTTTCGATCTTTTGAGATTATGGACACGGTTTCCATCGGAATCGTTTTGTAATTTGATATTTTGATTTTTCATTGGACAAAGAATTTTCTTAACAAAAATTAAATTTTGGGCATTTTGGACATTCCGATTTTCATTCGGTAATGATAATTATCAATATTAGTCCACTTTTTAGGATATCCTTCATAATTGCAATATTTTAGAGAGAATTTTGAATACGTATTTGGTAGAAAATCTCCTTACTCGGTTCACTTTTTAGGGTAAACCCCATAAAACGGTACCCATTTCCGTCCGTCCTTGGGTATATTTGACCGGCTGATGCACATGATAACTCTCGAAATGATTAAAAGATTTCATTCAAACGTTGGGCAAGCCTAGATCATGTCCGAAAATGGGACCCATTGGTCACTCTTTCTGGTAACTACCCCACAAAGGGTTTACATTTTGTTATAACATGCGAACAGATTTAAACCAAATTCGTTTGAAAATGGGATCCAAATGGTCCCAATTGTTTATAACGCCGTGAAATACTGGTCGTCATATTTCGATTAACTGAGTCGATGTTCGGTTCTGGTCAAAGAAGATCCCTATTGTTTTTGGTAATGACCGGTTAGCATTTAGGGGATCAAATGAGCCAAAACTTTATTTACATAACTGCCAGTTTTTATGGTCCCTCTAGGAGCCGTAATTATGATCCGAATATCACAAAATTTTAAACGGAGAATTTGATCTGACCAATAAAAAATATGTCAATTTTCATCATAATCGTCCAATATTTAGCGGGTCAAAAGGACCCAGACTTTTGTGTGAAAAATGGCAAAATGAAAAATTTACTCATGAAGGACATAGATCCGAGAACTTGATAGTATATCCCAGAGGAGTGGTTGACCTTTAAATTGATATCAATTATATTGTGTTATGTGGTCGGATGTGGGTGTAACACTTAAACACCATTACCAAACTAGAGGCCGGAAATGTAGCGCTAATAGCTAGGAAATATGCCTATAAATAGTCAATTATTACTACGGAAAACATGATTTGAAAACGAAACATAGATATGAGTAGTTGTTGTGTAGGGTATAATGGCGTCGGACACCGCTCACTAGTTTTAACTGAATTTGTTCTAATTTTATATTTTGGGAACTCATGGAGTGACAAATCTTCGTACCATAAATTATAAATATCTGTCGATCTTTGGGTATATCCGCCATATAATAGTCCACCCCTCTTTTAGATACTTTGATGACTATATTTTTGCGTTACGAAGTGGCTGTAAGTTGGTATTCCGGGACATTGGTGGGTAAACCGCCCCTTTATTATAAGTTCATATAGAAATATCAACCGTGTGTATTTTTATATTATATTTTTTGATATTTTTAGCAGATAATAAAAATCTATAACCTCTAACTCTGAAGATATCAATTACGATTTCCATGATGCGACTTTTAATGCAATTTCAGTAAATTTTCTATTCTAAACCCTTACTTCGAAGTGGCCTTCAAAAGTGTGTATTGCATTATTTGATTAATTCCTGTCAAGTTTTCGGCCTTAGAACAGACATCCTCTGACGTTGTCGCTCATTGGGGATTGATTTAATTTTTATCAGTTGATGATTTCATGGTTTCTTTCTATTTTCGGAATTTTCCTTCTCCGTAAAGCAAATGGAAAATTTAAACCTCCGAGGTTGATGTGGCGTACATACCTTTAATAAAAACATTATGGAAAGAGGAGAACATTTTTGAAATTTTTTCAATTACTAGGCGAAAGACACCACATTCGAATCCGTCTGAAATTTGATGACTATCGGATATTGGTACTGGATGTGGTCTAGCAATTAAGAGAATAGTTAGTATAAACTAGCAGAAAATAAATCCCTCCTTTAATCTAAAAGATTTTATAATTTTTTCCATAAATACCACTAACACTGTTCGAAAAAATTTTGGGAGGTTGGAAAATTCATGGTAATGAAAGCCCTTGGCAAGTATATTAAGAACCCAGAAGGATTTGAAAAGTCCGTCTTCTAACATAGTTTTTTTATCATTCGGAGTCCATATTTTTTTAAATTCAATATTCTGGTATCATTTGGAAAATATAATAACATAATAGTAAAATATTTAATAATCTGTATCACTCAAAATGTATTCAAGCGTTTCACTCAAATCCCGCCAGATTTCTTATATTTTATATTAAATACATTTTATTTTTTATATAAAATTACAACAAATTAATACTTCTCTGCTGATATTACCAAAACAAAACCACGTTTTCAGTTTGTGTTCTTAAAATATAAAAAACAAATATATATATTTAATTTTTCGGTGTGTGTTAGTTCAATTTTTTATACAAAACAAAAACAAATAGTTTCTTTTTTTTCTGTGAAATATATTTTTTTATTATTATCACTATTATTACTCTTAATATAATATTCATTATAGTAATAACTATATATACAAAAAAACATATATAAATATAAACTGCAGAAACACATTTACACAAAAACCAATTATATATAAATTAAAAAAAAAATTGAAAAAAAAACAAAATTAAAAAATTTAAATAAAAAGATTTCACAAGAAACAAATCCATTATTAATTTAAGTATTTATTA